TCACGCTAACCTTAAAATCACTTTGTCAGCAAATATTTTGTCTGTACAGGAAACTCCACGTCCTAAAACGACCTTCATATTTAAATTTCAGCACACCATGTTCCCTGCATTACTCACTTCCACCACTGTGGCTACTCTTGTTAGTAAGGCTTTCAGCACCGATCACTGAACAGCTCCTCTGTGGCAGAATAAGAGTTAATTATCCAACTGAATGATCTATGCTTTATGATTGTTACATAGACACCTGTTTACTGATATGAGCAAACATGCTGTGCTTGATAATTAACCTGTTAATCTATTGCCGTTTTTCCCCCCGGAGATGTCTTACATTGCACAATCTTTATATGACAGTAACTTATGGTATTCTCAGGCACTTTAAAGAGCACATGCCCATGAAATCATGACATTTTCAAGCTACATTAGCCTAAACATCCATGGTACTTTCTAGTACTTTTGAGTGGTTATTTAATAAAAAGGAGAATTAATATAATTTTGTGCTTAAGCTTATAATTAGTCTCTTAAAGGGTTAGTTCACCCAAAAATGAAAATTAGCCTGTGTTTTACTCAGCCTCAAAGCATCCTAGGTGTATGTGACTTTCTTCTTTCAGACGAATCCAGTCGGAGTTATATTAAAAATTGTCCTGGCCCCTCCAAGCCTTTCAATGAGGGTAAGTGGGTGTTGGTTGTCAACAGTTCAGAAGTCGTGAAATAAAGTGCGTGCATCCATAATAAAACGTCCCTCACACGGCTCCGGGGGGTGAATAAAGGTCTCACGTAGCGAATCCATGCATTTTTGTAAGAAATATCCACATTTCAACACTTTTTTTCTCACTTCCGCTGACTGTACGCGGAAGACGTTCATGCGGATGACGTAGGACGTATGCGTCGTGCTCGCGCCTCTGAGAAATGCAGGAGCAAAGGAAGCAAAGTTTCCTTACTCTAGCAAAGGAAAACCAGTCTCCTCTTGGCTTATATCGAAATCCTCCGACATTCTTCTTTACAAATCCTCGTTTTGTGCTTCTAATTCGTGAATGGCATTTTGTTTTGTCTCCGCATTCGTCACTAATCACGCAACGTCGACGTCTTACGTCATCCGCCGGAATGGCTTCCGTGGATGACAGTCAGCGGAAGTGAGAAAAAAGTGTTTATTACATTTGAA